GACTAAGTTTGCTACAATTAACGATGAGCCTTAATGATTAAAAGTTTTTTTTTCTGTGCAGTGCATTCTGTAGAGCAGGGGTGGCCACCTTTTTTGACCGAAGATCTACTTTTTGTTCAACCAACCTACCGCGATCGACTCGCGCAAACACACTTACAGACGCATGCCAACCTACCTTCGGCGAGAACTGACGCGGAGGCATGAGATGCACTTTTGCAGCGTTTTTGACTATCGTAGCTCACGTGTACCATTTTAAAAATGCTTTTCACGGCCCTCCAGATTCTGTTTGCCAGTACCCTCGGTGAATTGTACATGAAATTCCGTTTTTTTAATTTTTTTTTTGTTTTTTCGGGGGGAGGTTTGCAACAGCCACCTGCCTTGCGTCACGCCCTGCTAATAGAAACGTGTCGCAGGCTATGACGCAAATCTTCTTTGACAGAAACGTTGAAATGTTTCTGTCAACATTTTTACAGCATTGTGAAACGTTAAGAATGTTTGTGTCATGTTTTTACGCTGACAAAAAACATATTTAAAACAAAAAAATAAATTTCCCACCCACATCTTTTTCCATTTTCAAACATTTTTTATAAAGCACCGGGGAGCCACTAGATGGCGCTAAAGAGCCGCATGCGGCTCCGGAGCCTCATGTTGCCGACCCCCGTTCTAGGCGGTACAATGCCATCGTTAATATGATTGGTTGCTGCATGCAGTCCTGCTTGGATGCAGCAGCCAATCATATTACAGCAGGAAGTGTCCTGCCTAGAAATCCAGTAGGATTCATTCATTCATAATCACATCTCAACTCTCTCAGCTCATTAGTAAGGCACTAATACTAGCCATTCTGTTATTTTGCTGCTGTTTTGAAGTGAGTTGAGTTCACTGCATAGAGCGATCATATCTGTAATTTGAGTTCTCAATATAAGGTATGTACGTAAGGTATGTAAATATCAACAGTGTTTTCTAGTCTACTTTCAAGCACAAGTGTGGTTTAAAGGTTCAGCACATGGTTCATGATCCCTTCAGTTGACAAACATTATTTTTAGTGTCTGGGAAAATGTAATAAACATGAGCTCTTATCAGATGAGAATGAATCAAAGAGAAGAGCTAATGCTTCACTTGTGGACAGCCAAGCCCTCTTTTTCATGCTTTCTGCCATTTTTCTGGAGCATCCAAACGATAGCAAAAAGAGTGGTTTTGGATTCTAGTGAGTGTGCCTTCCTGTGTGGACTTTGCATGTTCATGTGCATGTGGAGTCCGCACAGTAGAGTGGTGAGTTTTGATTTTAAATTTTGAGATCTATACAATAAATGTTCTCAAAATTACATAAAATATATTTTAATCCATTCTGCTTTTTTTTTAAACACCTATTCTATTTAAAATGAAAAAAATCTTTTTACCACCAATAGTATAGCAGACATGTCCTGGATCCTCTCCTCTGGATCTATAAACAAATAGTAGCCATCAATCATTGTCAGGGCCGTCCTTCCCCAGTCCAGATGGGCGGGGGTGACGGGTGGGGGTGTCACTGCAAGTTACTGTCCATCCCTCCTGCATGCCTCCACTCCCTCTCACTCACATCAAACAGACCTGACAGGCCACCAGCTACAGTCTAAAGGGGCAGAATGTCATTTTTTATAGATGTTTTTATTTTATTTATTTGTCTTTGGGGTGGGTGGGGAGAACATTTTTTGAGGGGACACAATTATGTAGCTTCGAGCGTCTTTTGTTTGTTGACTGGCAGCCGGTGTGCTGTCATTCGGCAGCTAAGAGGACGATAGCTGATAAATCTTTTGATAACTGTGCAGCAGGCAGTGTGAGCGTCAGGCTTGTGTTACAGATCTGTCTATAGTTAACGTGATTTTATATTATAAAGTATATTTAACCTCCCCTCTGTGAACCGTCACCTTATCATGGTGGAAGCGTATATGTGTCCCAATGATCCGAGGAGCTAAGCTGTCTGGGGATTTGTGCCCTTGGCAGGGTCACCCATAGCAAACAGGTCGTAGGTGAGGGACCAGACAATGCACGGGTCAAAAGACCGCTATGGTGAATAAAAATATTGGATTCTGATTTCCCTTACCTGGTCGTGGGTCACCAGGACCCCCCTTTGGAGCCAGACCTCGAGGTGGGGCTCGTTTGCGAGTGCCTGGTGGCACAGACTGCACCCATGGGGCCCGGCCGGGCTCAGCCCGAAAATACAATATGGGCCCCCTTTCCCATGGGCTCACCACCTGTGGGAGGGGCCAAGGGGATCGGGTGGTTCGTGAGCTGGGCGGCAGCCAAAGGTGCGGACCTCGGCGGCCCGAACTCCGGCGACAGAAGCCAGCTCTTGGGACATGGAATGTCACTTCACTGGGTGGGAAGGGGCCCAAGCTGGTGTGCGAGGCAGAGCAGTTCAGACTAGACGTACGGTAGTAGGACTTGCATCCACACACAGCTTGAGTTGTGGTACCAGTCCTCTTGAGAGGGGTTGGACACTCTGGAGTGGCCCATGGTGAGAGGCGCACAGCAGGTGTGGGCATATTGACCCCCTGGCGTCGCACCTATACGTTGGGTTTCACCTCAGTGGGTGAGAGGATCAATACTCATGTGTTCAAAGACAGCTGCACCGGAGTAAAAGTTGCCGTGTGAACACCCCTTGAGTCTCCCAGCTGGCCTGGGACCACCTCAAGATCCCCCAGGACGAGCTGGATGAAGTGGCTAGGGCGAGGGAAGTCTTGGCTTCCCTGTTTAAGCTGTTGCCCCCATGACCTGACCTTAGATAAGCAGAAGAGAATGATGATGAGGATGATATTTTACCTTTAGTAATTCAGTTGGTCACCAAGGCTTCGCCCATGTGTGTAAGAGGGAAAAGGCAAGCAGCTCCGTGCTTTTCTGGCTGCATGCATTCTCCAATTGATTAAAGTCTTCGATCGGTTCAGATGGAGCAGTAGTTGCCACCGTTACACTAATGCCAAACCCACACATCAAAATAATATGAGCCCTATCATAATATGTTTGCAAAGTACTACATGGGTACGGGAAGGAGCCATTCATACCTCTCACGTGCAGCGCTGGAGTATGGCAAGAGGGCTTGCCTCGGATTGTGAAAATGCTTTTTAGTTTTATTGCTAGGGCAATTTTGGCCCAGATATTGGCCTTTTGGCAAGAGTCAGCCTTCAGCACTCCTCGGCCAAACATAAATGTCATGTGTATTTTGACACCACACCTGACACATCTACCTGGTCATCGTTTTCACATTCATTTAAGGATGTTCCGATTAGCTGCCGATACCGATCATCCTTGAGTGTGATCGGTCGATACTGATTATGTGGATTTGGTGTTTTTTTTCAGAGCTCTAACTACCACTTTTTCTTAAAAAAATAAAAGATTCATTATTTCCTGTTTTTTTTTTTTCTTTTGATTACTCAGATTGAAAATGGCATTTATTACATTTCTATCCCTTTATTATTAAAAAACTGAACATTGCTTCAAAAAGGCAGTGCAGAAAATGCACAAATTATGATTCAGTTCCTATGGTGGTCTCTAATATGTCAGAAAATCAGGGGAAACGTTATTTTCCTCAAATAAAAGCAGCTGTCCAATATACAAATGTCCAATATGGATTAAACACAAAGATCATGTTTACATATAATAGAATTTGGTTTGGTTTCAAAGGGGCATGGGTATATTCCTGTTGCCAATTCTGCATACGAGTATGAGTATGAAATTAATAATTGAATAATAATTGTATAAGTATAAGAAAACGTAGAACGAGTATAAGAAGACTGCCTCTAGTAACATTTAAGTTTTCAACTTAAGTTTCTTGATCTGAAAACTGAGTGGCACCCACGTAACCTTGAAGAAGAAATCTGATGTGACATCATATAATGGTGCGCTGCCACACCGCAAATATGTGAATATACAAAGAAATGTAAGTCTGACTAACAAATCCAGACAGCACCCGCCACTCATTCATCGTGGCGGCCATCGAAGGTATCCAACTGCTGAGCTGAGCGCAACAAAGTGAGATGCTATAGCTAATGCTAGCCCTTTGCCGTCTGTGACTTTCGTTCCTTGTGCGTTGAAAATAAGACACAGCTGTCTCTCTCTCTCTCTCTCTCTCTCTCTCTCTCTCTCTCTCTCTCTCTCTCGCTCTCTCTCTCTCTCTATTTAGTTTTGTTTCATTGTTGTTATGACGCCGATGAACAGAATACAGGCATGTCATATGTTCTCGCCACTCGGTTCCCACAGTGCGACATGTGGCGCAGTGTATTTATTGTTCGTATTTAAGTCACTACATTTTAAGGACGGTAATCTTGTCACAAATATGTGTTTCTTTTACCAGTAGTTGAATGTGTGCCATATTTAAATGCAAACATTTTTCACTATTTATTTGTCTATTTATTTAACAAACGCTGACGTAAGTTTTATGTGAAATTGTGACGTCCAGGTCAATTCCTCACTTTCGTTTGAAATGCCTGGGCATTGTGGGGTTAAAAGAAACAGGATATGGAGAAAAGTAATTTGAGGGATTTTACACTTGAATCAGGCTATAGCGTAACTAATAGCAAAGTATTAGCGACAAGTTTGTCATCATTTTAATTCAGTTAAATGTGTATGGGAGCATATTCATTTGTGACCGGTGAAGCTAATTGAATTCAATAATTTAAAGGAGAATTGGGATATCTGTGTTTTGCTCTATTCATTCTGCAAGCTATCAGAACTGTATAAGAACTGTGATGCATAGCCATAACATCTATCAAAAATAAATTCCTGTATCGCTTCTTTTATGTGTTTATTTTACCCTGCCTTTAAAATAGCAGTACAGGTATCGTAAAAATATGTTGCTTATAATAACGTGTTCTTTTTTTCCTTCCTTCCTTCCTTCTTTTTCTTTCTTTCTTTCTTTCTTTCTTTCTTTCTTTCTTTCTTTCTTTCTTTCTTTCTTTCTTTCTTTCTTTCTTTCTTTCTTTCTCACTCTCTCCTGCCCTGCCTATTTGGATGGGTTCTGAGGGCAGATGCGGATCGAGCCCAGAAGCATGGCATGGATGAGTTTATTTCAGCCAATCCCTGTAATTTTGACCACGCCTCACTCTTTGAACTGGTCCAGCGCCTCACTTTGGATCACAGACTCAATGACTCTTACTCCTGTCTTGTAAGCACATTGTAAAATGCAAATTATTCCTTGGTAAATAAAATGTTTCAGAGTGGTATATGCTGTCTCTGTCACATACAGGGCTGGTTTAGTCCTGGCCAGGTATTTGTCTTGGACGAATACTGCGCTCGCTATGGGGTACGAGGCTGTCATCGCCACTTGTGTTACCTGGGTGACCTACTGGAGAGGGCGGAGAATGGAGCCATGATTGACCCAACCCTTCTACACTACAGCTTTGCCTTCTGTGCTTCTCACGTCCATGGAAATAGGTAGAAATACAGTCGTAGCTGACAGGTGTCACTCCACACTTCCAACACGTATCGCGGATAAAAGTTGCCTGTGATGTGCTCATCCCTGTCAAGTTTGATATTTTTCCGATTGATTCTCATCTTGCATGTTTTCATGTTTTTTATTTTTCCTTTGTCTTTTCCCTTTTTCTTTTCTAACCTACTAACAAACCATGTCCACGTGACACAAATAACCTCCATTGTCCACAAAATTCTAAAATTTGACACAACCCCTGTTAGTCAGCGTGTGTCAGAGCTGTTAAACTGGCCAGTATCAGAGGCCGAACTGCAGCAAGCACTTTTCCCCTCTTCTCCTGAGCCCTCTCCCCAAAGCATTAGGAAAGAACTCAAAATCATTGAGTTCGTGAAGAAAAGGGATCTCAGGTCCCCACTTTTCTCAGGACAAAAAAGGTGAGTTGCTGCTTTTGTCATTTTCAAGAAATGTCTCCCTCTAACCTCCTGACAAATGGAGGTTCTCCCTCCTCGGCCTAGACGGATGCACACGAAAAATCAACAGTATCTTGTCAAATGCATAAAAGGCTCATCTACAGTATTTTTTTTCAAAATGTGTTTTGGGTTTATTTGATTTAGACCCTGAGGTGAAATTAATTTTCCAAACAAATGTCATAGTGATAGCGACGTAAGTAATGGTATGCTTACATGTGTATCGACTAAATTATCCAAAACAGTGACATCCACACATGTCAAGTGTGTCAAGAGAGGCTTAGCCAGTTGCTCCATATTGCCTTGAGGCACAGGCATGACAGGTTGACAGGTTGTCACTTGTGATGGGCTGAACATTGCTGCACATCCCCACAAAAAGAAAAAAAATAAGCCACACACCTCACCTAGACCAACCCCCACTAAAACATAAAATTCCGAAAAGCCATACCTTCTTGCAAGATGTCTCCTTGCCAAGAGATGACCATGCAGTTAGTTGTGCTCAGTTTCTCAGCGGCCTGCGACTGTGTCGAAACTTGACTTGCGTCCAGATTTGTGTCATGTCTGTTTAAACAGTCCATGAAACGATGTCTCCACCCTAAATACGTGACTTAATGACATATCTAAATATCAGGCAAATAACATTTCGGTTGCAAATAATAGAAAACACGTGTGTTATTTTTCATTGATTTTTCCTCTTGAAAATGAGTGTATTCCAAAAACAATGTGTTGAAACCAGAATTTTATGAATTAACATTTGATAAATGAAATGAGATAACCTTTCACAAATAAAGTCTGAAAACATGATCAAAACTGTTCCGATTTTCCAGGAGACTGATGTACATTGTAGTTGGAATGAATTGATATTCATTACTACAGTTACACATAGTTAAATGTGGTTTTAAAATAATGTTTCGCCTACATCAATTTGTTGCTAGCTTTCTGTCACTGATGGCTCATTTACTTGTCTTCAGTGAAGCTGTGTGGTCATATAGAAACATGAGGGAGCCGACAAAGAACAATGTGCTGCTGAAAAAAAAAAAAATGCCCCGAGTCCTAATTAGTGTGAAATGTTCCTCTTATAATTCTTGACTGTGTGAAAGGTGAGGCACTTTAATATTGTGCATTTTCAGTGTGACACCCCATAACATTTGCCAGCCTTGCCACAAAACCAAGGTTACAAAGAATTACAATTACAAAAGAATGAATATTTTTTTTAACTTACTAAACATAGAGTAACTACTTTGCTCTCATATATTGCATGTGCAATATGCATTTTACCATTTGTTTATTTGATGTATTCGTAGTGTATACATACACATATATTTAGTAAAAAATACATTCAAATTTCAAAATAAGATTACCTTGTTACTACGTCGGTTAGTATCAAACCACTCCTACAGTAAACAAATGCAAATGTAACAATACTGACATCTCGTTTTTGGTGGCAGTGAAAGCAACCAGTGAACAAATTCAAAAGCCTTTTGCTTTGAGCCAAATTTCAGCAGCGACGGTCGACAGGTGGCAATGCCGGTGTCTTGAAATGTTCATGCAAGTTGAAGAGGCCGTCCGGATTACATGTTACTTGATGGTAAGCATGCTTGTACCCCATGAGATCAAACACGGGACTAATGAAACACTCCCGTGTGTTTTACCAACACCCTCTCCGAAACAGGCGCGCAGTTTGCCGCTGTCCGCTGAAAGGACATGTCAAAACTAGGTGGGGGTCGGCAGGGGGTGATGGATAGAGGGTGTGTCATGTCTCCCGCTTCTCATCATACTGTCACAGCCACCAGTCCGGCGCCTCTCCTGTCACATGCACTCTGCTCAGACTCCACCCAGGCCCAAGCATGTCACATGGGATAAATGCAATCGAGATGCACATACTCACAGATGCACACCTGCTTGACAAGGACTATTTATTCATATGCAATAGAACTTCAGATTAAAAATGTCTCTAAAAATGACAGGGAAGGTATGAGGCTGAATGCAACCACCAAGTTATTAATAAAGTTATTGAGGATCCCACCAATGGTTGTAGTTTGAGAACGGTTGTATTGCCCCTGAACTCTGCAGTGCTCTCCTGTATGACCTTCCCCATGTTAAGGAATGATTGCCAGTGTTGCTGTGAAACTTATTTTGTCATGTTTCAGACCGGACGGTATTGGTACTGTCACGGTGGAGGAAAAGGAGCGTTTTGAGGAGATCAGAGAAAGACTTCGAGTGCTATTGGAAAACCAGATTACACATTTCAGGTAAGGAAATATCGAACAATTTTATCTGGTACTCATGAAAAACCCAAGAGCAGCATGATTAATCAAATGTTATGCTGTCCCCAAAAGGTATTGCTTTCCGTTTGGACGACCAGAGGGTGCATTGAAAGCAACTCTATCATTGCTTGAAAGGGTGAGTGAATTTTTTGGTGTGAACTTATTAGTTATGTCATTAGTTATAATGCCTTTTATACCAATATTCTATGTTCATGCTGTAATTATGAACATGTTTTAAGGTGCATCACACTTTCATCAAACTATTATTTAATAATCATCATCATCATCATCATCATCGTCATAATGTGATTGGCTGGCAACCAGTTAAGAGTGTACTCTACTGACTGCCTGAAGACAGCTGGGATAGGCTACAGCACGACCGCGACCCTCGTGTGGATACTTATATCAGATGATGAATGGATGGATGGATGGATGGATGGATGGATGATAATAATAATAATAGTAATTAATAATAATAATAATAATAATAATAATAATAATGATGATAATAATAGATTGTATTTGTAAGTGCCTTTCTTGATTAAAAGCATGTCTGATGTCACTCTTCACTTCATATATTTTGTATCATAAAATAACAAACGTCTTGGCTCCCCTGCTAAAGCTGGTGCCCCGCGACCCGACCCCGGATAAGCGGTAGAAAATGGATGGATGGATCGATCGATCGAAAATAACAAACATAGGCATAATTGATTTTTAAACTTATTATTGAATTTTCTTCCAATGATGTCTCGACAATTTAAGTTAATTTGGTAAAATTCGCAACATAAAATGCTTCATCCTTAACTAGTTCTTACAAACTTGGGCCCATGTTATCCCTGTCAAAAGTCTGTTCAATAATATCCTCTATTACGATATACCGTTTTTTTTTTTCCTTTGTTTTTTTTTTTTTAATACCTAACTATATCTGGGAACTTATTATGATCTCAGATTTTGGACAGGTGTGATACGGGTGTAGCCACTGTGTGAATGTCAGATGTTGCTCACCGTGGTTCAAGGAAGGTTCAGGACGTTACGATCAATGCTCAGATACATGGAGGGTGAGAGGAAACATTAATTGTAACTCCTAAAAATGTATCTGAGACCCTTTCCATCTGTTTGTAGGCCATTTTCAATTCCACAGATGTCATATCGTTATTATTTATCATTATTATAGTTTTTAGATCCTCAATACATAGCTACGGAAAGGTGGTGGGGATAGATGGATGAGATCCACGGACATATTTAAATCGGCAGTGGTAATCACCAGTTCATTCTGCACTCACTGCCATTGATGGCTATGGAAGGCACACCGGCCACGCGTAGTGACAATGCTCTGCCTGTGCACAGATTGCTGCGTCCTTTTCTGCATACATATGTCTCCGTGGCAGATGTGAGTGTGCCAAATTGAAAGGGAATGGGAAGCGGCACTTTGATTGGTGGTAAATGTAATTGGCAATGTTCACACCCACCATGGCGCAAACTACCCTTTTTAAATGCACTGGCTTGCATGCATCCGAAAAGTTGCCAACACCTGGTCTAACCTACTCCGTGCAGAGGTAGACCATGTGCCATGCTGGACTTGCACCGGACCGAACACAAAAATAAAGCCCCAAGTGTTTCGGTACTTGTTGGTATACAGAAAATGAAAGACTTATTTCCTTCCTCAAAGGTTTTGATGAAAGATGTTGTCACCCCGGTTCCACAAGAAGAAGTCAAAGCTGTTATTCGTAAGTGTCTGGAGCAAGCAGCTCTGGTCAATTACCAACGCCTGTCAGAGTATGCCAAACTGGAAGGTAAGCTACTCATAACATCCCTGAAACTGTTTCTGGATCTGTTCTTCTTTTTTCAGTTTTAAGGATATTTAATTACATGAAGAGCCTTTAATACATATTATTTTATATTTCGTATCATACTCTTTTCTTCTTGACAGCCAATTATCTACTGCACTTTATGTTGTTATTTTAAGTGACAAGTTCCCCAAATATATACTCCTTCTGCCTGTACCATTTGATAGTTGCAGCTGAACAATGAGTAAAAATGCATTCAATTCTTCACTATTCCCTTTGCTGGCTTCCACCATGCCTCAGCTTCTCTTTCAACTGAGTCCTACATTGGCTCTATCTCTATTTGGTCTTTCTTCCAGCTGAATAGATGCTCCCCTCCCTTTGCCTTGCTTTCTGATGACCATACTCACCTCTCCCTTTTCGTCTATTGGTACTCGCTGGTCATGATCACTCCCTGGTGTTTAACAACAGGAAGTTCAATAAACAGATGATAATGACACTCTGTTACGGCAGCTCATATTTGTGTTGGAGCAGGTTTTCTTTAGGAGACATCATAAACATTTAAAAAAAAAATCTATAGGCCCTATTTTCATGCTGAGCAAAGTCGAGCACAAAGCACAGAGTGGAGTCATTATTCTGGGGGTTTCCTAGACTTTGCACAGACAGAATTCGGTGCTGCAGGATGGGACCGAGGCGACATCCGACCCATTGTTGCGGATCCCTCCCATCATATGCATTAAAAACAGTTCGGTCTAAGCGCACGCAGGGTTTGAAACTGTGGAAGCAGAAGTAGACTCGCTGGGGTCAGTGCATGTCATTGGCATACGTGAAGTGAATTTACAGGTAAACTGCAAGATCTCCCCTGCGGATGATGGAGTCGGCCACGCATGTGGCGTGGGCAATTGGAGACTGCCTTTCACCTACAACTATGGCTCCATATGTAACCCTGAACCCACTGCCCCCCCACAATAGTTGTGCGACATGGTCGGGGTGGGGGAGGGGGGCGTGCTATTAAAATGTTACTTAATGTTATTTATTACCCATGAAAATTTGACATTTCGGTACAGATTTCAGCAAGAATCATGATAGTTGAAACACATAATTTGCTCCCGTGGGCCACATAAAATGACGTGGGCGGCCGGATCTGGCCTCCGGGCCTTGACTTTGACACCTGTAATTTAAGATGATGTCTCTTAAGAAACGACACGACACCTACCTGAACAAAATCAGGAAGTCAAACTTAAGCATCTCTCTTCCAATTGTTGATACTGTCCCCCCCAAACCTCTCCTCTCATACTACTGTGCTTCTTGACATCTGAAGACAAAACATGCAGACCTTTTTGAACTGCTTCTGCTCTGTGGAACGAATGGTTAATCCAAGGCAGACTAACCGAAAAACATAGCAGCCTGAAGTTAACAGGAAACGACGCCGTTCGCATTTAGATAACAGATGTTTGGATACTAGGTTTATTGTGTTGCTGTGTAGAAATAACAATATGCAAGAAAAACTGACAAAAATTTTGTTTCTTGCTTTTACTTGCCTTTGGTGCTGGCACACCATTTAACATCACACCAGTGCGGTATTGATATGTTAATAACAACTTATCACTTTGACACTCACTTTATTGTTGAAGGAAGATTGCAGTCATTTTTTTTAACTGTAAATGTTTCAGAAGTATGAAATGAGATCAATGTACCATAATACAACATGTTAGAACATGACACAGATACAGTACGACACACAAAAAGGAAGTGAAGACCTCTTTGGAGACATGCACATTTTACAAACATTAGTTTTGTCCTTTTAAAACAAGTCCTTTACTTAATCTGAGCATGTTCAACAAAATCTAATAATCATAATGACTTTAAATACCCTCATGTGACTGAAATGTGTAATGGGTAAATGTATAAAATATGTACTGCCCCGGCAACGTTTATGTAGACCAGGGGTGGGCAAACTTTTTGGCTCGGGGGCCACATTGATTTCTAAATTTGACAGGTGGGCCAGGTCAGCACAAGATACAGTACATATAAAAAACTGTCTGTGTTGACAGTCCATACCAAACATCAACATAACAAAAGCATTAAAGTATTACCATACTTTTTTTAATGAGAACAGTGAAACAACTATGATATATGTCCTGTATGAACGTCCAAGTATGTTAAGAACATTTGTGACAACACAAGCAACAAAGTACAACAATATATTGCCCAAAAACTGCAGCATACAGTACTGGTCCAGGTATATGTCAAAATATCACAAAGTTAGGAGTATTTGCTACAAAATGACACGAGTAAAAGACCTGGTGGCTTTCTTTCCATTCACTCACTGTCTCAAACTTGATGTCCCCTCGATCACCACCCAAGACAGTTGATGTTGTGCAACGAACTTTTGAAGCCAGCCACGGGACGCTTCGAAGCCCATAGCGCTATGGAACTCGCTTCCTCTCTTCTTAGCGGTCCAGTTTGCGTCAAGTTTTTAGCATGATAACAGTCAAACCATTCCAGGAAATGTTCATTTACTCGACTGTCTGTTGAGCCGCAAGCAATTCACTCTGAGGATGGAAATAGCCAGAATCGGGCTGAGCAAGAATCGCTTTCTCGTTTTTCAAAGTCTCGTAGATCTGAATCTTTCAGACTCCATGCGTCTCCTGAATGTTTCGTACTTTGTAACCCGCTTCGTTTAATCAGATAAGATTCCCTTTCTCTTCATTACTGTTCCTCTTCGTTTGGATGCCATGATGTACAGGACGTAAAAATGTTCTCAATTCCAGTAACACTCACTGCAATAAAGAGTCACTTGTATGTCTCTGTTTTGGATCCAATAATAGAAAATAGCGGCGCGGACACATTTATTCCGATTGTATTGTGTTGTATTGTCGTATCGAGCGGGAGTACCTTGAGTTGGCGCTACTTCAGGCTTCCGTATCGTCTCCCCCTCCCTCCCTGTGCTCTGCAACTTCAAGTAAGTGCTCCACCTGGCGTTGAAATGCCTGTCATTACAAGTCCAAATGAAATGACTTTACATTGAACCTTAATTGTGTACCAACCTTCGGCAGGCCGGATTAAAAAGACCCATGGTCCGGATTCGGCCCGCGGGCTGCAGTTTGCCCATCTCTGATGTAGACGCAAATGTCGCAAAAGCATGAAAAAATAGTTCACCACCATTGAAATTTAAACCAAAATTTGGGGGTAGGTCTCATATAAACATTTGTGCGGTATTGTAACTTGAAGGTAACCAGTCCACAAGTCAAAAAGTACAAAACATACTACTTTAACTTTGACATTTTTTTTTACAAAATGAGTGTCATGGCAAAGACGGATTAAAAAAAATATTTCAGCTTTGATTTCACAAAGGAAAATAGTTCTTTAAATACAAGCTACCAAAACAAAAACTAGTATTACTTTACAGAACCGACACAGCTCCCATTATCATGACATTGAAAGCACAGTTTCAACACCAGGAGACAAAGAAAAATACAACTCACACATCCTCTGGAATGCTGAAATAAAGATGCAGTGAAGACAAGTAACAGCACTGTATTGATGATGGTTAAAAAACATTTAACTGAAACTTTTGGCCAAACTCCAAACTGTAGAATATTTGTAGCCTTCGAATGTCAATGCACCATTTTAACATGGTTCAATATCAATCAGTTTGAAGCCCTGTTTTGGGAGACAGGCGCACGTGCACAAGGCATAAACACGGCCGCTTCTTCAGTTTCTTTAATCCAGACTACAATTTAGACCACATAAAAGCGCGTCTAAGTTGTGGCGCAGGGGGTGTGACATGTTTTTGGTGGATTTGACAGATTCAAAGCTCCACAGAAGTAAGTGTGTGGTCGATGACGTCGTATTTCATTTATAAATATGACAACGGCATGAGGCAATCTCTCTGAGTCATCAGAGAAATCAGTTCATAGAGCGTTGTCTCGCACGGACACGCGATCAGGGTAGAAGGCAGTCTCCATGTCGACCTTAAAGCGGCTAACTTTACATCAGCCGCAAGTTGAAGATCGTGCAATTCCTTTTAAAATGTACTTTTCATCACTTGCATCCACATCTCATGTAGACCAAGTGACTCTGCATTCAATTTAGAGGGAATGCAGGGAGCCGTTTCTATTGGATGGGAAACAAGTTGGCATCGTTCCCTCCCACAGCGACAGACAAGGGCATAAACGTCCCCTTCTACCTGCGCCAGCCTAGAAAAATATCAAAAGAAAACAAACTCCACCAAATGCACAGTTAGATTACGCTTTGCGGTAGACTTTGGCTGGGCACAGAATTAAGGCCCTTGATCTTTACAATTACAAAATAAAATGTGAACAGTTTCATGCAAAACATATACCTTGTCAATTTGGCAACTTGAAAATTCAAGTATCATCCATTCCGAAAAATACAATTCTTTACTGGCAACACATCCGCCACACAAGAGTAAGAGCGTGATGACATACCATATTTTCCAGACTATAAGTCACAGTTTTTTTTCCATAGTTTGGGTGTGACTTTTGTACTCTGGAGCGACTTACGTGTGAAATTATTAACACATTACTGTTTGATTTTATGTTATTTTCACATTAAACCACAAGAGGGTGCTCTAGAGCTGTGTTGATAAATCAACGATGTGTCTGACGTAAGCGGCGTAGAAGAGGAAACGCCACATCTTCTACCGCCGGAGATGGCAGAGTTGTTTAAAAGTGACACTGAGGATGAACATTTCATTGGATTTAGTGATTTGGAGTGACACTGATGGTTTGCTAAACTTGTTAGCATGTTCCTTATGCTATAGTTATCTGAATAACTTAATATGTTACGTGAACATACTGGGCACATTCGCCGCTCGTTGTTTATGTGTCATGTCACTTTAGCATATGTACACTTATTCAGCCTGCTGGTCTCTATTTTATTTTTATTTTAAAATGCCTTTTAAGATGGCATGTCTGTTTTTGGTATTGGATTTTATCAAATAAATTTCCCCCCAAAATGCGATGTATACTCCAGTGTGACTTATAATCCGGAAAATACGGTACTCGTACGGTGTGTACAAAGGATTCATTGGATAACCATACACATGTAGGGCACAAACTGATACTGCTTTGTATGTTTGACCCAAGAAGGCCCATTTTCCTGAAATTTAAAATGCCCAATTCACGTAATAACGAAATGGTTTCGAATCGACCCTGAAAGCCTTGGTCGAGCCCTCCGGACCATAATGGTCATTCTCTCTGACCCGGGCTTGTCGCATGCCTCGGTGTCCTCCCTCTTTCTCTGTAGGGAAAAAGAGAGAGATGTATGAGCATCCTGTCTTCTGCTTGGCGTCTCAAGTGATGGATTTAACCATTCGTGAGTACTTCCCTCATTTCCCAGCTTATCCTCTACCTTCATGTTTCGCTTGCATCCAGCATGCACAGCCACCACAACAAGTAGCCGTAGGGTGTTGTTTTTGAACTTGCTTAAATCTTTTGTTTTCAGTCTGAAATGGTGTACTTGTCAATTTCTTGACAGCCTTCCTGCACAATCTGCCTTTGATCGTGGTTTTGCAGCACTTCCCAAAAGCTCATTGTCTGTCTGCAACTTGAATGCATTTTTACTTTGCTTATGTGTATCCGCTTCCTTGTTTAAGATCATGATACACACGAGAGGTCAAAAACATACTGCAGTCTCCATTCAATAAACTACGAGATGAATGATGTCAGAACTAATCACATCGCCGGCTGACGATGTTGGCCTTCATTCTGTAAATGACAACTGTGGGGTATTTGCTGCTTTCTTCAACACGAGATTGTCTCAAAATTCAGGGCCTTTGAGTTTTCTGTTCTTCTCTCTTCTCTTCTCTTTTTTTTTACATACACAGTACTTTCTGATTCTACAAAATGAACATTGCATTTCTCTCTTCCTCCCTAAATTGCTCCCTCTTTTATCTACCTCCTCTCCTTTGTCACCTGTCTCAAAAGTGGACAAATGTCAGGAAAAAATGGAGGATTCAAATGATGTCTCTTCTTCATTTACTATCAGCTTTACCTTGGCCAGAACATAGGTTCTCCTTAATTTGTTGCTCTGGATGTTTACTTTAGTCAACCATACCTTAGTCTGACTGAAATGCGTAAAGTAAATGAAAGGTAATTTCCTCAAGTGTATTGAACACATGGTTAGAAGAAGCTGCATGCCAACAGTAAATTGGGATGAAAATGGATTGATAATCTGTTCCTGTGCCACAGTTCCTCTCACAAGTTTTGGAGGTAAAATGGACAAGATGATAGGCCACGAAAAGCATGGAAAATGCCCCATTGGGAGCTTTATACCTTTTGGGACACCCAGTAATGGGCCAGCTCAATATTCTGAGGCGGAAAAGGAACAACGATTAGAGAACGTTTCAGCCCCAATGACAGGAAAGGCAGACATAGCGGTCATCTATTATGTCCACGGTAGCGTATTGAAGGTTCAACACAATTAACAGGACATCGGTCAACATCAAATTTTAACTGTGGCCAATTATCCACAAATTATTACACAGCACAGCTCCTAACCCGTTTTTTATATTTTAGCATTCTTCAATACACACAGAAGGTACCATGGCAAAAACAAATATCTTGAACTTTGGTAACAAGGCAAATGGTTAGTTATGCTGAAGTATTTACTGCTTGATTGTGACTCACCCGACTTCAATGACCTTCCAGTATCGATTCTTCCTCTCAACTCATTCTTGTTTTCCCCCAACACCCCTTGTTGAAGTTGTTCCTCTTTTAGAGTCAGTGTTGTAAAAAAGATTAGAAGAAGTAAAACTTTCATGTGATTTCAGGCATTCATTTCACACATGAAAAATGTTGTCCTGTAAGTGCATATTGTTCCCTAAAAATGTGTTTGAATTCAAAATTGGGCAATCTCAGCGGGACTTTAGAGCAGCAGTTCCCAACCTATTTTGCCCTATGGACCGGTTTAATGTCAGACAATATTCTCAGGTCGGATAAAGACAACAAAATATTATATGACCTGCATGAAAAGGTGGTCTTTTCCTCAACATAATAATAAACACGAATCATGACATGAGGAACGTCCTATCTGGCCGCAACACTCTGTGGTCGCTATGGTAACATTTAAACATGCCTTCAAAATAAAATACACCGTAAATACAAAGTGCATGAAAAATACGACTCACCATATTATGCAGAGTGGGCTTGGTGCATGGGAATCTCCCACTGAGATAAACCCGTTCTGATTTAGCAGAATCACAAGGAATTATGTTGAAACCATTCTTTCTGGCATCAGTATTTTTACGACTCCAACTTCAGGGACTGATCTGATTTCATGCGCCGGGATAGATATTGTATTTCCCATTTGGTAGCGCAACACTAAACTATTACAGGAAAGAAGAAACAAGTTCTGACCTTCTGGCTTGAGAGACATTACTGTGGGGTGTCCTAACAAGTCCTCATTATAACAGTACAGAAGTCCCATTCTGTGGGAGCTGTCAGCCATGTTAACATGACTTGAGCTCCTGTGGGCAAATAACTATCAGCCACTTGTCTTGCCAAACATCGTCACTGAACCACTTGACTGTGCCAGTTGGTGGACTGAATGGGGGGGGGGTGGTTTCTTGAGACAGCTGGTCAAATTCTGCCTTTTCAAAGACAGTACTGGTCAGTTTTAAGTATTACTTTCCTGTGATGTGGTTTATTTGTATTTGGAAAATCCAATCTTACTATTTCCATATCATTTTGAGATCTTCTTTCTTGAGTTTTGACTCTGACAGGATGTTTACCCATTTGTTTCCTGAATGTTGTGATGTGCTAATGTTTATACTTTGACGACAAGATTTGTTTTGTGCTCATTCAAAAATAGGAAATGTCCCAAAGGCAAGTACTGAATCTAATATTTACAGCTCAGAATCCGAGCCATATAATACAACTCCACCTACCCACGTCACAACTCGATTGTAAATGATAATGCACGAGCCGATGGCCCAATAGATCAAATGGATACTGTGGAGGTACTATTTATTCATGCAATGATGTAACAGCATCACAGTCCAAAATACATTGGAGTGCATTATCATGCTTATACCATGGCCATGAAAATTAAACCAAAACAAAATTGGCATTAAAAAAATATATATGTTTATGTGTGCGTGTGTGTATTAGGATCAGGCATCAATCAATGAAAAGTAAAAACAGCCGATCAATAGATGTTAGCCATGGTATAATTCCATTCCACTCACTGTACATGATAGAGATGCATCCCAGTAGGGCAGTCTCAAACTTTTCATCGAATGAAGCTTTTTATACATAATTTGCACAGCTGAGCAAATTTTGCTTGATCGTATCAATATGGATTTACCGTGAGAAGTGAATACGAAAAGCCCGGTTATGATTATGGAACAGATGTGAGTCTTGATAAAACTGCACCATTTTCTTCTAACACAAGATCACGACATTACTGCATGATGAGTGTTGAATGTTGTTTGCATCCCTTGTGTCGACCATATTTTCTCTTCATGTTTGACATCGCTCCTCCGCCACACTGAAAAAGCTGTGACACATTATTGCGTACGTAATAGGACATTACTACTGACCTCAATCTGTACTATCACCACGAATTGGGACCTCATTTAATGTGTAATGATAGAATAGTCTTTAAGCTTTCATTCTAAAACTGTAACTGTCTTTTACTGTTTTGATGATAAAAAATATATAAATAAATGCTCAAAATACCCGCCAGACCGATTTAAGGCATGCTGATATGCTCTCTACATTTTTTACCATGCGTGCATGAGATTATCAAAGTAATTTTGGCTGTTACTATTATCTGAACCAAAAACTACTTAAAAGACAAAACTTACTCAAAATTACAAATATGTGATTTTAGCTTCCAGTTGTTGGCAGTAGGCAAGCGAGCATGCATGTTCTTGATGTAAAATCTGAACGTCAAAGAACATGATATATTTCTTTACCAGCAGGATGTTTGCCACCTGTGTTTCGGTTGCATGCATTAAACCTGTGTTGAGGCCTTTGATAAAAAAGGTGAAGATTGTGTTTCAGATGAGACTCTAAAAGCTGATCTTTGTGCAACAGAGAATGTTGGTCGGTTAGTCACTCCCGCAAAAAAACTGGAGGACACCATTCGCTTGGCTGAGCTCGTAATTGAGGTGCTGCAGCAGAATGAGGAGCACCATGCTGAGGTCAGTGAGAATTCACACGCACACACACACACACACACACACACACACACACACACACACACACACACACACACACACACACACAAACATTTTTTGTTCGTGGTAAGGGTGTATGCATCACCTGTTAATTGCCATTAAAGTAATAGACATGTTATTTTTAATTATTTTAATTCAGAATTGGATGGACAGTAGATGTCTTGCAAAGAAGTTGAAGCACTATTGAAAATAAAAATGCTTGGTTGGCCAGGTTAAAAAAAAAAAAAAATCAGCAGACCATGCTTTGCTTTTGTGCTGAGCAGCCTGAACAAAGTTTGCGTGTTTTGACCGAATGGCTGTT